TGTTGTTCTGTAGACACATGTTCAAGGTACCCTTATACCGAATTTCAGATCATTTGGTTGTAAAACCAGGGCTCAGGATCCAAAAATCCATTTTTTGGCGAAAAATGCCCCAAAAAACCTTCATAAAATTTTTTTAAAGGCATGTATCAAAAAAATGAAAAAAACGCCTGGGGGTATTGGCCCACTCTACCTCCATGCCAAATTTCAAGTCATTTGGCTGAATGATGGCTGAGTTGAATCCCTTTGACTGTTTGGCAGGAGAAGGAGAAGAAGAAGAAGAAGAACTAGAATGGCCGACATTTGACTTGGGAGCAAATACAGCATATTTCAGTCCATCTCCCTCCCACGCAAAAGTGGACTATTCCAAACTTACCCCAGTGCAAAACTGGCAAAGGTTCTCAAATAAATGAATTAAATAGTAGCTATATGAGAACAAAGATGCAAGAACAAGCACTTTGAATCTCGAAAGCTTTACTAATCTTCTTACAGGTATGCAAATACTAACAATGATGAGATTTGATACATTTTGAAGGTCTTAGGCACATAAAATTGAATGTGTGGGTCATTACCCACGACTTACGTGAAATGTGACCTCAGGTAACCCGCAATGGAACACGTGTTCCATGGCCAACGGCAGATGGAACGTGCCATTCTTTAGATAGAACATGGAACGGGTACAGCACTTTTGGCCCTTTTTTTTGCTGAAAATAGCCATTAAAGTCCCCCAAATGAGTCATTTGGAAGTGGTGTATGCCAAATACATGACTGCTATTCTGTAGACACACGTTCAAGGTACCCTTATACCGAATTTCATATCATTTGGTTGTAATACCAGGGCTCAGGATCCAAAAATCCATTTTTTGGCGAAAAATGCCCCAAAAAACCTTCATAAAAATTTTTCAAAGGCATGTATCAAAAAAATGAAAACAGCGCCTGGGGGTATTGGCCCACACTACCTCCATGCCAAATTTCAAGTCATTTGGCTGAATGATGGCGGAGTTGAATCCCTTTGAGTGTTTGGCAGGAGGAGAAGAAGGAGGAGAAGAAACATCAGAGAACACAATATATTTCATCCATACCATGGTATGGACTGAAATATAACTAGAAAGGCCGCCATTTGCTTGGGAGCAAATACAGCATATTTCAGTCCATCTCCCTCCCACGCAAAAGTGGACTGTTTGGCAGGAGAAGAAGGAGGAGAAGGAGAAACATGAGAGAACACAATATATTTCATCCATACCATGGTATGGACTGAAATATAACAATATGTTTTCCTTCAGTAAACATAATGAGGTTATAGGAAAAATTTAGTTGCAAATTAATATAATAATACTAACGTTACTTGTGTTTAGCTAAGATTACCCATTTTTGCCACAGACGACTCAATGAAATCAACATTATCATATGCTATCTTTCACAGGCATGCCTGCCGGAAGCTACTGTGATGTAATTTCCGGCGAGAAGCACGGCAACCATTGCTCGGGCACGACCATTACAGTAGGAGGGGACGGAAGGGCGCATTTCCACATCTCCAACAACGCTGATGACGGAGTCATCGCTATCTACGAGGGTTCTAGGCTGTAGAGCTTCGTCTGGTCCAGACCAACTAAACATATGCGTCTCGAAAACACAGCTAATTACTTAAAATAAAATCTTTTAAAAAATCTAGCAACATACTGGTATTCACTTTATGGTATCTCCCACAAACATATAACGTTATACACACATAGTGAAAACTCCGTACACTTAAGAAAAATCCTTCCTTGTCACGAAA